CTCCTCCTCCTCCTCCACCACCTCCTCCACCACCACCATCACCACCCCCACCCCCACCACCACCACCACCACCACCACCACCAGCCCTTCCACCTTTACCAGCAATTCCTCCACCAATGTTAGTACCCCAAGATGCAGCACCTCCTCCACGAGTCCAACAACAAGAATTACTTCCAGGTTTTGTCCCAACAACGAATGCATTCACGAAAGAAAACCCAGAGGCAGTACCTCCACCGAAATCGAAACCTATCATTCCACACCTCAAACACACTCCAAAACACCACGTGCAACCAAAAAAGCCACATGTTCCAGCACAAAAGCCCTCTGGGGTGATCACCCCCGAAGATCGTGCTCAGTGGAGTATCTTTGGGGAATCTTTACCATTGGCACCACAAGCAGAAAATAATCCTCCTCCCTTGCAGGTAAAAATGATTCAAACACTATTTGATCTTGTCCAGGCTTTCGGAATATAATAAATTTTCCCTCCTTGAAAGCCCTCACACAGTAAATATTAGTCTGTTCTTTAAAATGTGAATTAACATGATGCCCCATATAAAAAATACTAATGACGTAACGTTAACTCCAATCAATATATTTGAACGTGTACTTTTGTGGGCCTGGCGCCAACAAAGCATATCCATATATCGGTTGGCGAAAACAGTTCTAGACCAAAAAACAACACCATTGAAGCATGTAAGGGGCAACATGGGTGTTGGGTGTGGGCCTCGGCCCTTCCAGCTTAGTTTGCTTGTTTGCTGAAAACGCATAAATTTTCATCTATAGAAAACGATTTTGCTCAGAAGTGGAAGGAAATTATCGTGAGGGATAGTTAATTTCAGTTTCTGACTTAATCGACATTCATATTTTCATATTTTAAAAATAGGCGCCTCAAGTCGAACAACCACTAATGCCAATGACGGAACAATTCACCCCCACTGGGATGACCGAACAACCAATAAATCCCACACCACAAGAAACTCAAGCCGAGTTTTCTACACCATCAGAATCTAATTCACATGATTTGCCAGGGCTTCGTCCATTGGACAGTGATTTAATAAAGCATGAGCACCATGAAAAGAAGCCAGAACTTTCAGTGAAACCACCTGCCGTACAGATGGAAACACAATCTCCAACCCATCTTCAGGCAGATATTTCTCCACCCCAGGCGTTTGCGGAACAACCAGCCGTGCCAGAAGTTCCGCCCCCTGCGCCAGCAGTTCCGCCCCCCGCGCCAGCAGTTCCGCCCCCCGCGCCAGCAGTTCCGCCTCCCGCGCCAGCAGTTCCGTTTTCCGCACCAGATATTCCGCCACCCGCGCCAGCGGTTCCGCCAGCATCTCCTTCTTCCGCACAAATGGATTATTCAAATGAAATGTTTCCATCAATGCAGCCAGATGTTCCCATGGTCCCAATGCCCCCACCTCAATTCTTTGCACCGAATTTCATCCCATTAGCATCGATTCCACTTCCTGTGTTTTTACCAGGTAAATATGATTTTTCCATAATGATAATGCTAAGAAATGTGATTCACCTTATGCTAAGTACCTCTGCAATCTGAGCTTCCTTGCATATTTCTGCACTTTCTCCAAGTTGAAAAGTGAACAGGTCTGTTATAACTGTTATAAATGTACCTATCTGTATGAGCATGTTTTCTGACTGTTTTTTTGAAACATAAGTGATTATTCTTCATGAGGTGTTCTTTAGAGTTCAGAAAGATGTTTTTTCTAGTTTATTTCGTCTTATTTCCATAAACAACTGGTCACAAAGCTTTATTCATAGAGAACAAATAAACTTTGCAACGCATGGGGGTTGAAAATTGAAATTACATCTATGGTTTATAATATTTGGTAGTTAAAATTTACAATAATAGTTATATAGTTATTCATATACATTTTAAAGTTTTTCATAGTTATTTGGTTAATGTATTATGTACATATATAAATATCTCCTAGTATAGCGTAAGTTGATTTAGAAGTGTCAGATTAAAAATTAAAGATAAGCGTGATAGGTCTACTAAGAGTTTCACCTGAATTGAAATATCGCAATCATTAGATGAAAGAAAAATAGTTGTACAGACAGATAGATAGGTAGTTTAATAAATCAAATATCGCAGCCAAAAAAAGGCTGAATTACAAATGATTTACAAATGATATGAAGTAAAATACTAAGTTCATTATTTACAGTTCATTGTTGCTTAATATATTACTACGCTAAAAACTACAACGTCACTTTCCAATTCACGAAGCCAAAAAATGGCTGAATTACAAATAATTTACACTTGATATAAAATTATTTACAATTCATTGTTGCTTAAACTATTACTACGCTAAAAACTACAACGTCACTATAGTTATGAGGGCCCATGCCATTACTGAACTTCGCATGCGACTTGACCTTTACAATACTATCTTAACAGTATTATTTGACCTTAACCTCTCATTTATAGATGATACACCAGACGTCAGGTTGGCAAAGGAAAAGGATTTTGAAACTCGTAGGTCGGCCATTGCAGTAGAAAACATTGAAAAAGCTATCGGCTTAGACGAGAAAACAATAGAAAGTCTCATTGATGATGTGAAACAGGTATCTGAACGTCAAGCAATCCAGTATGAGAATGCCATTTTGAAAGACAGAAAGGAGGAAGAAGAGGCTAAAGGAGAAAGGAAAGTGGAAACAGAAGACAAGTTATTGCGAGATGAAGAACTCGAGGGAAAAGCAAAAGAAACCGTGGATCAAATAAACCGTTTAGAGAAAGTAATGACAGTAATCGAGGTAGCGAAATTTGATGCAGGGAGAAGAGCAGGTCAACAACTACAGGCTGCCGAAGCTTGGAAAGATAGAATGAACGGTAGAGCTAAAAAAAGCAAGATAATGAAAGTTCCTGAAAAGAACTCGGTAAAGAAGACCACGCGTCATATTCTTGAAAATATCATTAAAAAAGAGAAATACCGTACGAACGCTAACAAGGGTAGCAAAAGAAATGAAACACAATCCAATAAATCACCCATTCACAGTGTTGTTGATAAAAATACCAACGACTATCGAAGTAAGCGATCGTTTTCAAGTGATTCAGACAGAAAAGACCTGCTTCGAATAAAGTTTAAAAAAATCGGAAAACTTGCTAAAGAAATTTTAAAAAACATTCAGAAATAACTTAGAAATAACTTTACACGTTCCATTAATCATAAACGTTTTGTAATATATGTATGTAAAATATAAATAAAATAAACTGTAAAGTTTTACAAACCCTAAAAAGCCCTGATGATATAAACCCTATGTTTATACTTAGAAATATAAAATTACACACAAACTAGAAATACATGCGTGCAGAAACCCCTCGTCTTGCTTGCAAAACAACAACTAACAAAGTATTTAAAGTATTTCTGCATTTGACGTGGTTGTCATGTTTCTTTTTATATTTTTAAAATTCAATGAAAACCTCAAAATAATCACTTGTAATTACAAAATGATCAATTTCCTATTATAAATCAGTGAGCTCCATATATATCTGGAGTAGGAACTTGGTTGCTCAAAGTGAAGCCAGTTTCGTGTTAACCGCGCATACAAAAACAATAGAAATGGACTGGAACTGACGTCCAACAGCTCCTTCAATTTCCGCCATCTTGGCAAGGAGTGTGTTGAAATTTCGTATTTTGACTTCGATTTAAAGAATAATATTGTGATTTTATGAACTGAAAACTTGATTAGTGATACGGTCCATTAGAAAAAACTGGAATTAGCTTGGGAAAATGGTATAAAAACTGTTTACGACCTTCAGAGCTATTGGACGTCAATGGCCGCCATCTTGGCTTCACTTTTCTCATTGACCGAATGACTGAAGTTCTTACTCCAGATATATATATAGAGCTCACTGTTATAAATATATATGTTAGATAAGTTATTATGTACTGTTTAATAAACGAGCAGGAGTGTTTTATTAGGTTTAAAGACACGAGCGCGCAGCGCGAGTGGCTTTAGACCTAATAAAACACGACCTGCGAGTTTATTGAACGGCTTCAAACACGCGACTACAAATTCAATAGATTTACTGCCTTATTAGTATTCTTTATATAAAAAATACTAATGAGGACACGACTACAATAGATACTAATAAGTTAGTATTCTTTATATAAAGAATACTAATTAGGAGTGTTTTATCAGGTTTAAAGCCACTGCACGTGACATATTATGGTTAACATGGCTATGAACCGAAACAACATATCAAGATTACCGAGTTTTCTTCTTATAAATGCTCGCTCACTGTTACCCAAAATAGACGAGCTATCCCTCTTACTATCAATACATTCTATGGAGTTTATTGCTGTAACTGAAACGTGGCTCAAAGATACTGTTCCTGAGCAACTAATTTACATAAATAATTACAACATTTTTCGCAATGATAGATCTTACAGCCGTGGTGGGGGTGTCTGCGCTTTCATCTCGACAAATATCCCAGCTAAAAGAAGAATGGACCTTGAAAACCCCTCTCATGAATGCTTATGGTTATGGCTGCGACCCCACCGCCTCCCAAGACACCTAACTGGATTAATCTGCTGTGTCCTATATAACCCGCCTGATACACCAGTCAATGAGCAAAAGGAATTAACGGCCTATCTTATCGATCATATTGACCGAGTTAGATGTACCCACCCCGACTGCGGTGTTGTCTTACTCGGTGATTTCAACAATTTAGATATCAGCGATCTCCTGTGCCATCACAATCTTACGCAAATAGTGGACACCCCAACGCGTGAAGGTAACAGCTTGGATCTAATTGTTACTAATCTAGAAGCCTTGTATTCTAAGCCTGTGATTATAGCACCGCTCGGCTCATCAGATCACAACATTGTTAAATGGTCCGTGAAAACTAACGTTTTAAGAACAGATAATAAAACAATTAAGGAAAACATACGTTCCTTCCCCATGTCGGCACGTGCAGCTTTTGGAAGATGGTGCTGCTCACGTGAGTCGTTCTCTGATGCCGAAAGCAAAAACTCTGCGACCGCCCTAGCGTCCTCCTTTACCAACGAGTTAAATTATAATGATAGGTTATTCCCGTCTAAGGTTATTAGAATTCATAACTCTGACAAAGTGTGAGTGAAAAAGCGTGCATATTACACGAACAAGGTACAACACCTTAAATCCAGTGACTCCAGAAAATGGTGGGACTGTGTTAACCAGATGTCTGTAAAAAAAAGATCTGCAACCAATAACATTAAGATCGTTAAGAATGGTACCACTCTATCTGGTAAAGATCTCGCCCAATCACTTAACACCTATTTCTTAAGCGTGAGTAATGACCTTCCACCACTGAATCCTCTCCTGCTACCTGCCTTTCTCCCTGCACCTAGGCCTGTGCCAAAAATTTTCCCTGACGAAGTTTGCACTAAGATGCTCAATACAAAAGTTTTCAAATCCAGCGGTCCTGACAATATTCCTAACCGGATTATTAAGAATTTTTGTCCACTGGTGAATTCCCTAACATATGGAAAGATGCGTTAATTACACCAATTCCTAAAGCGCGATCCGTATCCTGTGAAGAGGGGTTGCGCCCAATCTCCCTTACAGCCTCTTTGTCCAAAATTCGTGAGGACTTTGTGGTCAATTGGATGGTGGATGACGTGAAACATAAAATCAACCCGCAACAATTTGGTTGCCTTAAAGGAACCTCTACAACGTTTTTCTTGATCGATATGATCAACAATTGGCTAAGATCATTGGATGATAAATCGAGCTATCTGCGGATCGTTTTCCTCAATTTTAGTAAAGCCTTCGACCGCATCGACCATAATATCCTGGTCCCAAAGTTGCTGGCCCTTGGCGTCAGATTGTCGCTTATTCCATGGATATGCAGCTTTCTCTCAAATCTTCGCCGTCAATCGCTTCATCAAGCTTCGCCGTCAATCGGTAAAGATCGACAATTTCCAATCTGATTGGGGCATCAAAAACGCAGGTGTTTGTCAAGGAACTAAGTTGGGCCCTATTTTATTCATAATTATGATCAACGATCTTGAACTGGCATCCTCTAGCACTGACCATTGGAAATACGTGGATGACGTAACAATATCGGAGTCCTTAAAGAAAAATAAAGTTTCAGTCCTACAATCTGATCTTAACACAATTGAAAGATGGATTGTTAATAACAAACATGAAATTGAACGGAAAGAAATGCAAAGAAATGATAGTGAGTTTCGTTTGTAGCGAGAATGACATCCCCCGACTCCTCATTGATGGTTTACCTCTAGACTTAGTTCTTTCTTTCAAAGTTTTGGGCTTAACCATGCATGAACAATAAATTGAAATGGCAAGATAACACTGAAGCGTTAGTTAAAAAAGCCTCAAAACGCTTATACATTATTCGTGTCCTACAGCGCTGTGGTCTTTCCCCCAATGACCTCTTATTAGTCTAGTTTTCTATGGTGCGCTCTATCTTAGAATAAGCCTGTCCTGTCTGGCAAACCATGTTACCAAAGTGTTTGGGGGATAAAATTGAAAAAGTTCAAAAAAGAGCTTTTCGTATTATTTATCCGACAACAGATTACGAAGATGCTATCAACATCGCTAAATGCAAGCGTCTTGACGACAGACGTCAAGAGCTATGTGCTAAAACTTTCAAAAAGATCTTAAAACCCGATGCTCACCTCAACCACCTCTTACCCCCACTCCGTGAAGAATCGCATGAACTGGACTTAAGAAACAATTCTAACTTCACATTAGCTAAATGCAGAACGGAACGTTTTAAAACTAGTTTTATACCAGCAATGACTGCTAATTTTAATAGTAAATAATTTGTAGTATTTTAACAATTGTACATATACGATATATCTATATTTATATTATTTGATATTCATCCTTTATTATGTTTCTGTAAGCATATTGCAATTCACCTTCGTGTGCCAAAATGTGTTTCTTAATAAACCTTTAATAAACCTTTAATAATCATGCCTGCTGATCGAGTGTACGTACATACAACTAGCAAAACTTGCAACTGGAGTCAGATTTAACAAAGAATAGACTTTAATTAACAACGCTTTGTAAGTTAATTTGAAATTATATAGCCCTTCATAAATACCAAAAATGAAAATAGCCTGTCAGAATTAGTATAAGTACAAAAACTTTTAAAAACTGTGGCACTAGCGTTGTTTCTAAAAACAGAAATGTAATATAGGTATGCCCGTCAGGAATATAATTATTCTATGCAAATCCCATATATTTTCTGATAAAGTTTCAAAGTTCTCATTGTTTACAGGGCTCATTGTTCTTCTCAAGCAATACAATCACAATAATTGTGATGAATTTACTCTGTACATGTTGTAGCTGAATTGACTCGAGTCATTTACGGCAAAATCAGCAAGTCGAGTCCGAGTCGAGTCATTTGAGCTGTTGACTCGAGTCAATTTTCGTATTGGACTCGAGTCGACTCGCCGTGAAAATAGCGACTCGAGTTGACTCGAGTCAGAGTCAATGACTCGACTCGTTACAATACTATGTGTTACTTGAGTAAAATAAAACATACTGCCGTTCATTTTCTCGCGAATTCAAAGGGTACTTCATTATTATTCGAAGCTTGCATAGGTATCGAAAGGACCTCAACAATATACACCTATTGTACACATCATGCGTAGCTACGCTCACACGCTATGCGTATCATCATTATTCATCATACGTTATAGCTACCTTCGTTGTACACCACATGCAGTTAGGTACGAATTCTTGGGCGTACACTAAGTACGAACTGTTGGACGCACATTCCTTGTACCATATTAATTACTTCCCTACCTATATGGCGGGAGGGGGAGGGTAGCCTACTATCGTGAAAAACCCATTATAACGCTAACAGCTTAATTTAAACGTTTTACTCAACTATGCATCTAAGTTTTGCTAGTCTTGTTTAAGGTAAAGTCTTTTCCATTTTCGTAAAAGATAAATGCCATATTTCCAGCCATGTTCGTTTTCTTCTGTCGTTCACTTGACCTGTTTTGTTTTGTCGTTCACGCTAGAGTTTTTTTTATTTTAGATCCCATTGTTTTTTTCGCCAAATCAGATCAGTTAATTACAGATTTTTGCCATGTTGTAACAGATTTTTGTACTGTTGTTTGAGATTAACTGCACTAAAAGCAACCAATGACGATCGAGCAATATTTTATATGTATTTTATTCAGGGCCGTAGCTAGCAAGTATAGTTGTTGGTGGTGGGGGTGTAGGCCAAAAATTTCCGAATGACGGAAAAAAATTCCGAATATTTCATGGCATACGAAACGACGAAGGTGTTTGCTATCCGGAAAATGAAGATGCAATTTTACAAACAAAAATACACATAGTCTACGCAAAGACATAGTACAGAAGCATGCAGTGCCGTAGGAAGCTCTTTTTTATTGGGGGCTGGGAACGAGGGCCGAAGGCCCGAGGAAATTTTTAAATTTAGATTCTCTGAAATGCCATTTTCTGGACTTTGGGGGAAGTTCTGACAGAATTTGGATGGTCAGAAAACAGAGTTTTAGTATGATATTTGTGATGTTACTCTGAGTATGCATCCACAGCGGGCAAAATGCAAAATGACTGAAAACGGCAAATTTCGCAAGGCTATATTATCCGCATTTTACAACATTTCGCAACGAAACTTCGGAATATTACTAATTTTGTGATGCTCTTTCAAGCTGTGATGAAATTTTTGTCTAGATCAAAATTTCACTCAAAAGGGGAAAAGTGTATTGTCAGTATTTTAAAGGTATATTATTTAAATGATAAAGGTGTGCATGATTTTGAAAAAAGAATGATTATCAGCAAATTATTGTAAGTCTGCTGCCCCCAGTCCCCCCCCCCTCCCCCCGACTGCTACGGCTCTGAGAAGTAATAAACCGATAAAAATTTACCGATTTACGATTTGTTTTACGTTATCCATGTAAATGCCGTGATTTCGTAAATCAGTTTATACCAATGGTTTATACTAACAATACCATTTTATAATATTTTCTCTGTTTAAACAACTGAAATTTTTTATACTGTTATTGCCGTAATTTTCCGAATGGCCAACCCGATTTTCCGAATATGTTAATTCTATAAAAGTTGGTGGGGGGGTTAACCAC